ACTTTGTCATATGTCTGATTTTGCATTTACTTCACTTTTAAAACAAACAACTCTTGTTTACTAACTGTGCTACTTCCTTACTTTTGATTGTAAGAGCTGTAAAAAAAGGATGCTAAGTTGATGAGGATATTGCCACTTGAATAAACCTGTAAAGAGTGTGATTTTCCGAAACTAAAACCTTGCAAAAAGAAAACATAACAAAAAAAAGATTCTTGTACAACAATAAAAGGTTACTTCTAATGTTACTTCTTATGGGTGCAGTAGTGCAATAGTGAATGAGATGTTTTGAACATGAAGGAATATCCCGTTGCTCATTGATTTTGAATTGCACGGGTATGACACTCTAATAAGAAACAAATCAAAAACAAAAGAAAAAAACAAGATCTGCCTTTAAAAAAGGATTAGCTCTTTTCAGGGATAAGCGTAGGCAAAAATTTGTGCAAATAGCCTTCCAAGCCGTTTCTGAGAAAGGGCAGACAAAAAAGCTGATCTCACAAACGCGCTTTCAATCGCTTCTGAAAAAATGGAGCCTGAGAAAACAAATAAACAGATTTAAAAACTAATTTGTAAAAATAAACGACGATACAGTATTACAGCATTATTTAAGCTTTGAGTTTCAGATAGGCTTTCTCTTGTCCTCTAAATACAAACAAAGAAAATTAATACATCTTGTCTAGCGACCCTCTTGTACTCATGACTTCATGATTAGCGTACTAATAATAGTCGGAACTAAATAAACAAAGACAGATCACACTTTTTTCATGACAGCTTGCAACTTCAAGAATTAGGACAAATCAATTTCCAGATCGCTGAGCCTTTTCAAAAGCAATTTTCAAAAAGGCAAGAGACAATTGGCTAGGAAGCAAGAAGCCTCAAATCTACTGTGAAAGTGGCAGGGCTTAACTTCTTTTACAAAGAATTATCGGAAAAACTAAATTTGGTTTGATAGTTTCATTCATGTCACAAGGATGAAAAGAACTCTGACCTCCGGATTTTGAAAACTCAATCCACACACCGTTGATAATTCGAATTCACTGGTTAAGAAGTAACAATCTTCGTTTATTGCGTAATTTTATCGACTCTAGGTCCTATAAACACCATCCTTGATTATATCATGCAAAAACGCATATTCCGTTCACATGAACTCGATATCATTAATGCTCAAACTTTAAAGACAGATAACGCGCCAGGTAA